TTCACAAACTCTTACAGAATATAGAGGAGGTGGGAACACTTATCAACTTATTCTACAAGGTCATTACTGCCCTGATACCAATGCCAGACAAAGATATTACAAGAAAAGAAAAGATCAATATCCCTCATGAATACAGATATATAAAAATCCTTACCAAAATACTAGCAAACTGAATCCAGCAATGTATAAGAAGGATTACACATCATGACCAAGTGGGATTTATCCCAGGAATGCAAAGCTACTTTAACATCCCAAAATCAATGAATGTAATACATTATATTAACAGAATAAAGGACAAAACCTACAGGATCATCTCAAAAGATATACAAAAAGCATTTGACAAAATCCAACATTTGTTCATGATTAAAAAATGAAAACTTCAACAAGCTAGGAATAGAAGGGAACTTTCTCAACCTAATACAGGGGATCTACGTAAAATCAAAGCTAACATTATACTTACTGGAGACAGACTAACTGCTTTGCTCCTAAAATCAGGAAAAAGAGTATCAGCTCTCACCACTTTTATTCAACATTATATTGGAGGTTCCAGCCAGAAAAATTAGGCAAGAAAAAAAATAAAAGGCACCCACATTGGAAAGGAAGAAATAAAACTGCCTTTATTCACAGATAACATAATCTTGTATTTAGAAAACACCAGAGAGTTTACAAAAAAAAAAACAACTAATAAATGAGTTCAGTAGAGTCATAGGATACAACATAAACATACAAAAGTCAATTTTATTTCTATACACCAGCATCGAGCATACCATAAATGAAATTAAGAAAATAATCTCATTCACAATACCACGAAGAAAAATCAAACACTTAAGAATAAATATAACAAAAGAAATACAAGACTCATACACTGAAAGCTATAAAACATTGCTAAAAGAAATTAAAGAAGACATAGATAAAACGGAAAGACAGCACATGTTCATGGATCGGAAGACTTAACGTTGTTAAGTTGGCAATAATACCCAAATTGGTCTAAAGATTCAACACAATCCCTATTAAAGTTCCAGCTGCCTTTTCTGTAGAAATTGAGAGATGGACCTAAAATTCATATGAAAATGTTAAGGATCCAGAATGGCCAAACAATCTTGAAAAAGGGAACAAAGTTGGAGAACTAACAATTCCTAATTTCGAACTTACTACACAGCTATAGCAATCAAAATAGTGCAGTGCTGGACTAAGATCAACTGAATAAAATTAGGAGCGCAAAAATAAGACCACATTTACTATTGACTGATTTTTGACAAAAGTGCTCCAAAAAAATTCAATGGGAAAGAAATTGTCTTTTCAACAAATGGTGCTGGGGCAATTAGCCACGTGGGAAAAGATGCATTTGGACCTCTATATCACATCATCTTCAAAAATTAACTCAAAATGGATGACAGACCTAAATGTAAGCACTAAAGCTATAAAACCCTTAGAAGGAAACGTAAGAGTAAATATTTGTGATCTTCAATCAGCCAATCACTTGGGCACAAGAGATAAAAGGAAAAAAAATGATAAACTGAGCATAAACTTTCATACTTTAGAAGACACAGTAAAGATTGTGAAGAGACAACCCATAGAAAGGGAGGAAATATTTGCAAATCATATATCTGATAAGGGATTTGTATTCAGATTATAATGAACTAGTTGGGTACAGTGGCGCATGCCTGTAGTCCCAACTACTTGGGAGGATGAGGCGGGAGGATCACTTGAGGCTGAGAGTTGGTGACCAGCCTGGGTGATATAGTGAGATGCCGTTTCTTAAAAAAAAAAAAAAAAAAAAAAATATATATATATACACACACACAGAGACACACACGCATGCACACACACGTGTGCACACATGTGGGAGGTGTGTACGTGTGTGTGTGTGTGTATACATATAAAGAACTCTTACAACTCAATAATAAAAAGACAATGCAATTAGAAATTGGGCAAAGGATTTAAAGAGACATTTCTCCAAAGAAGATATAACAAATGGCCAATAAACATACGGAAAGATATTTAATATTCTCATTCATAAGGAAAACACAAATCAAAGCCACAATACAGCTTCATACCACTAGCATGGCTACAGTCAAAAAGACAGACAATAACAAGTGTTGGTGGGGATGCAGATAAACTGAAGCCTCCTGCATCGCTGGCAGGAATGTAAAGGAATGTAAATGGTGCAGTTACTTTGGGAAACTGTGAGTTCTTCAAATTGTTAAACATAGTTATTCTAGGATCCAGCAACTCCACTCCTAGGTACATCTCCAAGAGAAATGAAAACATACATCCACACGTAATTTGTACCTGACTGTTCATAGCAGCATTTTTCATAATAGCCAAAAAAGTGGAAACGACTCAAATGTCAACTGATGAGTGAACGAATACAATGTGGTATATCCACATAATGAACTATCATTCAGCCATAAAGGTGAATGAAATACTGATACCTGCTACAACGCGGATGAACCTCAAAACCATCACGAGTGAAAGCAGTCTGTCCCAAGAGACTACTCATCGTAGGATTCCATTTATACAAAATGTCCAGAAAAAGCAAATTTAGAGGGGACAAAAGGAGTAGATTAGTGGTTGGCAGAGGCTAAACACAAGTGGAAATTGAGAGCAAGTGCACATGGGCATGATGTCCTTTGCAGGGTGACAGAAATGTTCTAAAATTAGATTTGACATGATTGTACAACTCCTCTATAAATATGCTAAAATTCATTGAAATGTACACTTAAAACACATGCATTTTATGGTTTTTAAATTATCTCAAAAGATTATGTTAAATGTTTAAAAATTAAAAATGTATTAGCAGCAAACTAGTCTTTCTCATTGACCTAATCAGAGGGTTGAAGGCAGTCATTTCCTTGTCACTTGATTCAGGAAGTACCATCTAAAATAATTTTGTGTGTAACAAAAGAGACACCTTCCATTCTCTAAGTCACAACTGCAGGATCCTGAGGAGCCACATTCAGACCTAACCGAGGCCAAACCACAGGAGAAAGGATATTGCCCAGGGAGTATGGACTCAGGGGACGGTGGCCCCATGATGGCAGCACTGGTGGCAGTAGCTGAGGGCCTTAGGTTGTCTCCCCCTGGGGACAGAGAGGGAGGCTGTGAGTGGATTTATGGTTGGAAGTGAGAGGAATGAATTATGTTAGCTGCGACATGTTGAAAATTACACGTGTAGGACTCAGCTGGGCCAGTCAGAAAGCCTTTGTGAGGAGCCGCCGTGCCGGCGCGTGAAGGACGGTTCCCCCCTGAGAAATGGCGTGTCTGCAGGTCTGGCAGCCAACCCAGCACGCTGCATGTGTGGTTTGTCCGACCAGGATACACTTTTCTAGGAACTGTCCTTCGTCAAGATCGCCCACCCTCCCATTTTCATGGTGATGCTGGGAAATATCATCTTCTACTACCCAAATTCCCTCTTGGCCACAGGAGTGCCCAGTCATGATGTGGGGCATCCTTCCAGGGCCTTTTAGACTTTAAACAGAATGCTAGGCCAGAGGGTAACGCTGGAACACATCGAATACCAGAGCTAAAGGAGCCCTGTTTTTACCATGCGGACACCAGTACCTGCCAATGAATTCCTCTTTCTCCTGAGATGAATTTCTACTTTTTTAAAATTTTTAATTTTTTGTTAGAGATAGGGTTTTGCTCCGTCACTCAGGCTGGAGTACAGTGGCACAATCATAGCTCACTGCAGCCTCCAACTCCTGGGCTCAAGCAATCTTCCCGCCTCAGCCTCCAGAGCAGCTGGGATTACAGGCATGAACCACGGACCCAGCCAAGATGAATTTCAATTGGTTTTCACTTCCATGTAACTAAGAGTCCTAACTGATACCATTCAAATATTTTTCTTCAATTCTAGTCCATCAGCATTCCCACAATACATAAGGCTTGGTTCTACTTAAAGTTGCACAATTAGTACTACAATTAGGAGGTGCTAGAGATAGTGCCTTCTCTCAGCACCCACCCACCGCTCCCTTCCCATGACCAAGGTTAAAGCAATTCTGCTGGGAATACTAGACTAGCGAGCTGTTTGCAGACTACAGTAAAGAAGGTAGATATTTGTACCAAGTCTGAGGGAGTCAAAGATTTGTTCAATCCCCAGAAAAACAAAGGATTAAGTGGTATTTATGGCTGTTATTATAAACTAACCTGATGCAATGTGATATAAAGCTTTTGAAATCCCAAAGAAACAGAGCAATTTGTTAAATGCCATGTTAAGAGCTTTTGCAAGATCCATTTTCATTTTTTATTTAACTTTGGTTTAATCATATTTGGATTAGCAAAACCAGAAGCATGATGTAGCTGTCTTTATGAAATTCAAGTACCGGAATTTCTGAGAATTAACCAAGGGAATGGAGATAACACAATTCACTACTTCCTTTTTTATAACATTTATTTAGTAACAGAGCTAGTTTACTAGGCTAGATAAAGCTATCATCAAATCTCTAATTCATGCGGACTGAGTGCCTACAAAGCTCTATCTAGTTTAAGGAAGTTCAACAAGCTGCTGTCCCTGAGGGAAGCCAATGTGTTGTTGAACACATGCTTGAAAATAGTTCTAATACATATTTGACCATATCCTTAAGACAAAGTCTAGAATTCAAACAAACACATACGCTATAGAAAATATTAAGAATTCTAATGGTCATTACCATATGAAAGTGTTACTAAAATTGTGCTAGTAGTAATAATAATAATGGAAAAGGTAACAATAAAATTAATGAAACAGTCTAGCCCAAAGATATGTAGAATTAGGGATGTAACTGTGCCATATATAGGAGATTTGATTTTAATATTGATCACTGTCTGGTCCATCAGATTTACACTTCCCTATCCATTTTCCCTTAATCCTACTCTGGTTAGGTACCACAAGTGAAAGGCCATCGATTAAATAATTACGCTGAAAAAAGATAAAATAACAAAGGTATAAAACCTTTTTACCTCCAGACATTCAGGGATGGGGGATGTGAAATACACAAAAAATTTTAAATGCAACTTACCTAATATCTGAGAGATCACATTTATTTCCAGCAATAGCCATTACAATGTTTTCTGGACCATGTTCTTTCAGCTCTTTAACCCATTTCTTCAAGGTATGAAATGAATCCTAAACCAAAAGGATAAATGGGTCATTGGAAAGACCTGTCAAAGTAATATTTCAACCAAGCAGAAATACAAACTCAATACAATTTAGTAGAGAAAAATATTTTTAGCAGACTCACATAGATTAACATACTACCCCTATCAAGGCACAAAAGTTAACATTAGCTAAGCTACTTAAATAGCCTATATCAAAGGCTCCTTTTCTAAAATTGAAACTTGATCAAGTTAAGAAAATCATATTAGGACTTCTCTTCTATAAATAACATTAATTTAAACCAATAGCCTTGACTCTAGCTGAATAAGGATAACAGGACCTGCTCATGGTTACATCAGGAAAGAAAGAAACATATTCAGAGTCCTGTCTTCCCTTTGGCCCTTCGCTCACAGCCGTCCTCTAGGAAACTGGCCAAGGTCGACACTACGTTTAGGTCGAAGTGGTCAGGAACTCACAGAAGGTGACAGTGATGGGTCATTAAGCTAATAGTCTTGTGCACTGAGTCAGCACTCCAGAAAAAAAGTAAATAATTCAATTTGCAGGAGTGAAAAAAAATGTCATCAAACCACCACTGCAGTTATTTGTTGATGGATATCCTAGAGCCTCAACATAACTAAAAACATATTTATATTTATATTGCATGTATACAAACACACACATACTTATATACACATGAATGTTATCCTTGGCATTTTAAGTATGTAGTATAATTGCAACACTAATAGAAAATAAATATTCTAAAATTATAATACATGCAGAACTTAAAAATAATTTTCCTTTTCTTAAAAAGGTGACTTTCTGGAGAACAGTACCAGCAGGCATGACTTTGCCTCTATAGTCAATTTTAAGAATGAATGGTCATTGCTGTTTATTTAATTTAGCAGATAAATACGAGATGCCTCATTACATAACATGCAATAAACTCTATATAGATGCCAGGCTACTGGCAATACTCAAGCAGTAACGTCTCTTTGCTGGTCTTTCTGAGTCAGGGAATCACCATCAATTGCATCTAAACCCTAGAGGAGACATTCTTACCTGTTTGGTGATATCATACACTATAACAGCTGCAGCAGATCCTCGATAGTACATGGGAGCCAAGGAATGAAACTGTTTAAGAACAACAAACAGTTTTAGGCCAAGATGAACAGATTTTATGCAATCCCAAATTAAATATAAAATTTTCATCCTATAATCATCCCTACAGGATCCCTAAATTCCCCTTAGAATTTTTCCAGGGTTCATATTAAACAATAAATTTTCCTTCCCAACTTATACATATACTTGTGGTATTTACAGACTATGAAAATCTACCTTTGGGCAAAGGCCAAAAACAAATTTTATCTTAAATGTTGCCGTCCTGTAAATTTTCTTTTCTCTACTGCTCATCACATCTCTAATATGACTGACCCAGGGCAATCTCATCAGAATTACACAGCAGTAAGAAAAAGATGTTACTAAGGAGAGGGAACCAGACACTGGCAAAGATCACAGGACCCTGGCTGAGCCGTCAACAAGGAACATTCAGCAAGGGCACCACTGCGGCACCTGCCCTCAGAGCTGGAGCGCTGCCACCTCCCCAACAGGGCGCCTCGCCTCCCTAAGGTCGGCAGATGATGAGACATTTGATGAGCTTCTCTGAGCTTCATTCCAAATGTAAACAAAGCAAGTACCACTGGCCACTAGAGGACATTCATCCCCAAACAGGATAGAGAATTAGTCTCAGCATACATACATTTTACGAATATTTTGGAGAAGTGTCCAGTCTCAATTTGCATCTTTCTTTAAATTAAAAAATGTCTTGGAGGGGGTTTTTAAAGTCAATAAGAAAAAGATAGCTGAATTTTTTAAAACGGAAAAAGGACATATGTAGGTAAATCACTGAGGAGGAGACATAAATTGCCAATAAAAATTTTAAAACATGTTCAATTAGGATTAAAGGAATGGAAAACAATGTTGAGGAACTTATTAAGAAGATTCATATCTAGCGCTGCTGTGGGTTTGGGAGGGGAGGCGCTCTCATACGGTACACGGAATGTACTTCAATATCTTCCTTCAAAGCCACCGTTGGTATTTTAATATATATCAGAAGTTGAAGTGTGCATACCGCTTGACCCAGAAATTCTTCTTATAGGAATATACCCCGGGGTGATAATCACACACAGGAAAATACCTGCCAGTGTCGTATATGGGAGCAAAAATTTGAAAACAACCTAAAGGTTCATCTCAGGGAACTGATTAGTAGTATAACGTTATGAAGTGAATGTTTATGTCCTTCCCAAAATTCCTATGTTGAAACCCTAACTCCCAGCGTGATGGTATTAGTAGGTGGGGCCTTTGGGAGGTGATCAGGGTTAGATGAGATCATGAAGGTTGAGCCCCCATGATGGGATTGGGGCCCTTTAAAGATGAGGAAGAGACCAGATCTCTCTTCTCTCTCTCTCTCTCTTTCCGTCTCTCCCCTCACTACGTGAGGATACAGCAAGAAGGTGGGTGTCTGCAAACCAGGAAGTGGGCCCTCCAGTCCCTGAATCTGCTGGCACCTTGATCTTGAACTTCCCAGCCTCCAGAACTGTGAGAAATAGACGTTTGTTGTTTGAGCTCCCCAGTCCATGGTATTTTGTTACAGCAGCCTGAGCTGACTAAGACATACATGTATGGAACGGAATATTCCACAACCATTAAGATGACGAGGAGGACTTTTATTTATAGGCAAGGGTCTCTTTAATATACTGTTAAAATAGTCTCAAAGCAATAAATATAGCATAATATAATTTAGGGGACAATATGTGTGGGAGTGTATCTCTGTGTTCGGGAGTAACATGGGGTCCCTCAAAATGTTAATAGTGGGATTTCTAGTGATTTTTACATTTTCCTTATAAGAGTCTGTATAATAGAAATTTTTATAATGATTTTTAAGTAAAACGGTTTGTAAGTTAAAAAATAAGCAGCTGTTTTTATTGGGGCATGAAGGGAGGGAGGGAGGGAAGGAAGGAAGGAAGGAAGGCAGGAAGGATGGATCCTGAAGCTCTTCTGGCAAACAACAAAAGCATAACTGCCTCGTTTTATTTCCCACATAATACTTATTTGCTTGGTCAATTCTTGCCAAATTGAAATGATCATGTTTGGAATCTGAAGCACATGGGTTCCCCGCGCTTCCCTTTGACTGCAGTGAGGAGTGCAGCCAGGCACTCCCAATAGCGTGGGAGGGAAGCAGGCTGCCTCCCCCTCCCCGACACCCTCCCCCACAGCCCCTCCCACAGCCTCCATGCAGGCTCCATCTTGAGGAGAAAGTTCTCTGGAGCCCTGCGGTTTTCAGAAAAGGGAAAGAGTCGGATGAAGCTCAGGGTGAACCAAGGAATTCACCTCTGAACTGTGCAGTGGCCCCGCCCACTGTCCCCTGACCAACAAACACATCATTCCAGAATGGGCTTGAGGACAGCAACCACTTGCCACACACATCTTCCCATGTTCACCAACATAATCCACTGCTCACACCTAAAGAGCAAAATTTGAATTCCTGCCCAAAGGGAGGAAAGAGCAATGTATTTTGAGCCACTTTTGCTTTGCTAGGGGTAGGAGTGCATATAAAGTGTCCTGTTAGCCCAATTATATAAAAGGCCCATTTTTTCAAGTTAGCCTGCATATAAGAGTGGCCCATGGGAACACACAAAGCAGGAGAGTCAGCACAAACTCTACTTCTCAGTAGTAAAGACACTCAGGGACTCAAGCACGAAGAGCTGCAAACTGTGGGTATCTTCCAAGACAGAGTTCATTTTAGGCTAAAACACCATGAACTGAATCTAAAATGGTCACTGGTGTGCAGGTCTCATGAATTATTGAAGAGATCTTCGTATATAATGCATTACTCATTCTTTCCTTCCTCCAAATGGAATCACTTTGAAATAAATCTGCTGGTGAAGCCACTTAAACGACTTTATTGCTGGGGACTTGGGGGTTTTAATGAGTTAAAAGTTCCCGTCTCGGTTCTAAAACCCAGTAAATGCATTGACCAAAGGATAATATTTGTGGAGGACAAAAAGATAAATCACTTCTAGCCTACAATGCATAGACTTTTCCCCACACAAACATAAAACAAAAGCACCACAATCAGCCTCAGTACTCCACATGACACAATTCAGTTCCTGTGAGGTCAGACTTAAGACTGATAGAATGCTCACATAAAAAAGGCTCTTCTAGAAATAAAGTCTATTTCTAGATCACAATCACAGGAGGTTGATGATAAAACTTTGTTTTTAAATCTCACCTTGAAAGGTTATGTGAAAATTAGCACAAGAGATGCCAATTGAAAATCCCTTCTTCCCTAACCACCCAACAAAATATCTAGAAGACCAAATTGAAGTGTTCAGATAACTTTCAGGTGTCATTTAATTATTTAGAAGCAGCACAGGAAAATGTGAAAAGCCAGTATGTCTCCTTAAAAGCAGCGGCTGTCTATGTCCTTAGAGAGCATGACTATTTGTTTGTTAATTGCTGGATGTCCACGTGGGGAGAGAGAAGGGAAGGGCCTTCTTCAAGCACTTCGAGCTCCTTGGACTTACCAGCTTTCACAGATGGACGCAGACCCTGCCCCAGCTCCGGCAACCGGCAGGAGGACAAATGGGCGTGACCTTTCTGGAAAGCAGCTAACTGGGCCACGCCTTTCAAGAGTCCTGCGAATGTTCACACACTCTGATCTGACAACTCCACCTCTTGGGGGAACAATCAGAGATGGTCACAAAGTAACCAGAATTTATGCTAGAATTATCAATTATGCTGAAAACTGTAAACAACCCCAGTGTCTAGCCATTAGGGAACGGAAACATAAATTTTGGCTTAGCCACATAATGGAACATTAGGCAGCAATTAAACTCAGGTTTTTCACAAACATTAAGTGGCACATGCAGTAAGGTGGCAGAGCTTGGGATTTCCTCAGGGTCTTCTGCAGAATACGAGGCCCTTGAGGTGCTTTTGGAAAAAAAGGTTTCCTAGCCAAGTAAGTTTGAGAAATGCTACATATAATGATGCTACCCTGGAGGTTTACAAAGTATTATTAATACATTAAAGTCTGTGAAAATTTCTATAGTCAAAAACCCTATTTATTTTGGTTTTAAATCAGAATTTTCCATTTGTTTTCTTTTACCTTTTTTCAAGTAGTATTTATTAACATCGGGGGACAAAGTGTGATAAGGACCCACCTTAGGGCACAGTATGAAGATAACTAGACTCTAAGAGTCCTGAGGCCTGGCCTGGCTCTACCCTGGTTTTCGTATTTTGTAACAGGAGGTAGAGGTGGGGGTGGGGTGGAGAGGATGGCTGAGGTTTTTCCAGCTCCGTGACAACCTCTGGCAGTGCCCTGCTCTTGCCTCTTCTGAGCGGCTTCGTTGTGCTACACGCCTCTCCCCACCCTGCCTACCCTGTGTGTGCACGTACACACAGCACAGTGGGAAGTACTATTCCAGGAAATCTCCTAATCCTTCAGACCACCCAGACTACCTTCGGCAAAGTTCCTTAAATGAAGGTTTGTGGCATCATAAATTCCAAAGCAGCAAAATTCTGCAAGTCAGGAATGAGCAGTGGTAGAAAATACATGAAGTTTCCAAACAAGCAGAGCTCCAGCTGGGCTCTGCCTCCGCAGATGAGAATTATCCGAGCCAGAATGGTCTGGCAGCAGATCCTGGAACTCGCAGGGATGAGTTTTGTATTATGATTTTCAGAGAACGCTCTGTCCCTGGTGAGTCGCTTAGGCACGGTCTCGGAGCCTAGGACGGTCTGTGACTCCACCTCCGCTCTGCCCTGGGTGCCAGCCCATAACCAGAAATTCTCACCCTCTCAAGGCCAAGGCCCGGGAGAGTCAGGGGCAGAAGCCAAAAAGAGCCTGAGGTCCATCAGGATTCAAACAAAGAGGGCAGTGGTAGAGGAAAATTCCTGAAATTCTCAACATTCTCAGCTGGCAAAAGTTGAATGGAAAAACACATTACTGAATGTCCTTTCTGTGTCATTCAGAAGAATGCTCCCCATTTCTACATAGACCTCTCTCTCTCCAGAACAGCAGAGGGCCTAGTTAATACGCCTGCTCAGACGTCTTAAAACCCCACAGTAAGAGTTGA